TTTTCCCAATATAGCCCCTATATAACCCCTATATGCTCCCAAGCATCCATGAATTCTTCGTGGATCCAAGGAGGTTGCAAGATCTGATATTTTTCCGTGCCAACCAATTTTGCTAGGAAGTATGAATGGAAACTACTCTCTGGGTTTCCAGAAGTTTGGTTCCTTTCTCCGGGGTTGGCTTAAGCTGGCTTGGTCTGCTTGGCTCCATTAGGGTTTAGGGTTTAGGGTCTAGGGTCCTAGGGCTTAGTCCTCGAATTTGGCCTGGCTGAAGTATGTTGACGCAAAGTGGGTATGTACCAAAACTTAGGTCCCTCTCTCTCTCTCTCTCTCTCAAGATAGGATCCCCCCATAACTGGGTTGGCCCCTAAAACCCTTCGAAAAATATCAGTATATAGGGTCCCTTATTGAAACCATTAGGGAAAATATTAAATATCCCAGGGGCCTACCCAGAAAATTGATAAGAATCAGGCTAGACACCCCTTAACAGCAACCAAGGCTCCTATACTGCTCAGCCAACTCTCGGAGTTCAGCAATTTCAGAGCTGTTGGTCATCTGTCCAACTTTCTTCATGATTTCTGGGTACCTTAGTCGGGGTTTAGGACTTTCTTCGTGACATCGAGGCACCTCAGCTAGAGTTTAGGACTTTCCTCACGATTTCCGGGTACAATGCTCGTGCAATAGGCTTGTCAATCGGGTGAGACTTGCCAAGAACTCAAATTAGATTTAAGCCCGAAAAAACAAGCCCGGAGAGCCTACAACAGAAGATCCATACAAGGCCAACATCAGTTTTGCCACCTCCCAAGACAACAATGATTTCAGGATTCACCAAACGCACTTTGCAGAACCCTACGACCCCGTGCGAACCCTAATTGCGTCAGCGGCACATATCCCAAAACGTCTGCCAAGCGCTGGAATCAGTCGGACTGTCAGTGCAGTTGAAGGTTGCTTCGTCCAGCTTGCCCTGCACTGATTCAAGACCTGCGCGCACGAAAGTACAAATCAAGGTACAATGAGCTCCACAGGTAAAAAGCCCAGAAGCTGTGCGCCTTGTGGGGCCCCCATAAACCCTGGGATCTTGATGCTGATTGTTTTGTGAGACCTCCTCACATATTATATGACTATTATGATTACTTTTATGACAATTATTGCTAGCATTATTGCTGCTATTATTACTACTATTCTTACTACTATTCTTACTGCTGGTCTTACTACTATTATTACTACTGTTACTACTACTATTATTGCTGCTATGATTACTACTAGTCTTACTACTATTACTATTATAACTATTGTTATTACTACTATTGCCAAAAACATTACGACTGCTAGTGTGACTCATATTATTAATACTATTATTACTATTAAACTCATAACAAGAAAGCCTGCTTGACTCATATGATTAATACTACTATTGCTATCAAACTCATAACAAGAAAGCCTGCTAAACATCTCATTCGGACATTTGGGAGGGCAACCCGTGTTCACCACCCGATACCAGGGGTTCGCATCTGGCTGATCGCACCCACAGGTGGAACCGCAGACCATCCGCAGCAACTGGCCCTCCTCGGGGTTAGTTTGGGGTAATATTAGGATAATGGAAAAGAAAATGGAAACTATATAGGCCCCCTTAAGTAGATAGACTATGGGGTATGTGGGGATCTTACTGTAATATACCCAAGGCCATATTCTATCTACTTAAGGGAGACTATAGGGCTTAGGGTTTGGAGTCTAGGGTTACAGGTGGAGAACTTGAACTTTTCAGGGGATGATTCCCAGGAATGCACAGCATGGTCTTGCAGGAGGCCGTTGTCCTTTTCTTGTATCGGAGATATGGTAGTTGAGGAAAAATCCTGCTCCAAAAATGGCCCTGAAGAAAAACCATGTCCCTTCTCGATTCTTCAACCCCCAATCATCTCCCCCTTAATTCTTGAACCCTCATATCCCTTTGAGCCTCTTCATTGCAATGGACTGACATCTCCTCACAGGTGAGGGCTAGAGCAGCACTTCGCTCGTAGCCAAGGCCCGGGGCCGTATTGAAGAAATACGGCCTGGAGGTTTAGGATTTAGGGTCAAGGGTCAAGGGTTTAGGATTTCGGGTTAAGGGCTAAGGGTCTAGGACTGGGGTTAGGGTGAGGCGGTTAGGGCTTAGGGTTAAGAACTAATCCTCCCCACCTGCAAGTCCTAATCCCCCCAGTCTATACGGTGCTACATTGGTGTATTGGGGTTTTGTATTAATACGAATTGGGGGTATTCGGTGGTACTTTCATGGCCGCCAACCCTTTTCATAAAAAGGGTTCCCTTATACAACAATAGGGGAAAGTATCAATTCTCCCAAAATGCCACCCGGAAGCCCGTAGTTCAAGCCAGTAGCGGAATTTTGGGCATCGTTCAGATACTGCTCATCCAAGTCATCGCATTGCAAAAGACTTGCCGCTGCCACGGCGATGGACTCCGTCCGCCTATTCTCGAATGTCTTTGCTTCTTGCGTCATCAAGATGTAAATTGATGACACCGAGTTTTCATCGAAAGCAAAATCACCTACCGCGATGTCAATGAGGCTTTCATTCCGCTTGGAATTGAAATCATTCGTCCACCGACCAACTGTAACGCCCTGGTTGCTGTTGACGCCCACGACGAAGTTATCCTTCCCCCAACACAATTTCTTCTTCACCTCCAACATGTCGTTACCGAGAGGCTCTACCAAGTGGAACCACGGCCACAACATCAATCCAGTCCTCCGATCCACGTTTAAGAGTGCACCAGGCTCCCTTGCATAAAAGAAACCTAATTTAGGGGCCTGAAGAAATTCAATGGACCTTGATGGCACATTATTCCACATGTATACCAGAAAGTTCTCGCAGTTGCATCATCCGGTTTCAAGCTTCTACACTACCATCCAAAATCCAGATTGCCAATGCAGATCACAATCCAGTTCGCTCAGGGCCAAGATGAAGCAGGACTTCACAACCGAAAGCAGTAAAACAAGTAATCAAAATTGCATGTATATGTGAGATAAATGGGTAATATGTGAAATATCTATTATGAGTCAGGTTGCGGCCAGCATTCTCTTGCGGAGATCATTCCACGACTGATCAGTGTCAGGTGCTTCTTGCAGCTATGTTTACAGATTTTGCAGATAAATCTGAGAATTCCTAGCATAAAACTTCCCAGAGTCGCATGCCGGATAAACTCCCTTCAATGTACGGAAAAGCCTTCCCTGGCTTTTAAGTTACGCACCAATGTTCCAAGAGAGCAGTTTGATAATTTGATGCTCCCCATCTAGGGGCAAAAATCTATGTTCCCTCCCCCACTCTCCATCAAGCATCAACCAACGACTGGGATAGATTTCGTTTTAAGGTTTAAAATTCAATTATTGTGGCATATGATCTGAAATGATTAGAATTTCTCCCCAGGAAAATTTCAGTACTCTACCCTAGCTTCCGTTTTACTTTTCACGTTCTTTTCCATTTGGTTCTCCATTATACCTGTGTCCATTTGTTCCAATGCCCAAAAGACTGAATCTTAAACCCTGAAGAATAATAGTCTCCATTTTCTTTGCCATGATCCCAATGGCTGGAATACTAGTTTCCATTTTCTTGTCCATTCCTTCTAAACCCTACACCCCAAACCCTATTATGGCAGTTTCCATTTTCTTTTCTACTCCTTCTAAACCTTAAACCCTAAACCCATTACAGTACTTTCCATTTTCTTTTCCATTATCCCAATAGAACGCCAATATAACCCTGTAATCCCTACAGAACCCAGAGGGTCTACATATACAACCATTAGGGAACTGGGCCCCATAATTCATTCTATAGTATGGTATTTTGGGGCCTAATTCCTTGATAGTTGTATATATGGACCCTCTGGGGAACCCATTATAGTAGTCTCCATTTTCTTTCCCATTATCCCAATAGAACCCCAATATAACCCTGTAAGCCCTACAGAACCCATTATATTACTTTCCATTTTCTTTTCCATTCCTTCTAAACCCTAAACCCTAAACCTATTATGGTAGTTTCCATTTTCTTTTCCATTATCCCAATAGAACCCCAATATAACCCTGTGAGCCCTATAGAACCTATTATAGTAGTTTCCATTTTCTTTTCCATTCCTTCTAAACCCTAAATAAACCCTAAACTCATTTCAGTAGTTTCCATTTTAAACTCATACAGTAGTTTCCATTTTCTTTTCCATTCCCAGACAGAACCTCCAAGATGAGTGCAGGCAGGAGACATGATCAACAGCAGGAGGATCGCCTCCATCTGGCTCCGCCGACGGGAATACGTGATCTTAATGGCCTCCACCGGGGTTTAGGGTCCAGGGCTTAGGGGTTTTGGGGTTTCAGGTTTAGGGTTTTAGAGTTTAGGGCTTAGGGGAAAAGTACAAGGGAAGGTATTGAGTTTTCCATAAAATTCTGTGGAAATACTGGGACTACCACCAGCATTCAGGCAGTGGAGCTCTTTCAGATTACATAGCAACAAAAGATGGAGAATCAAAATGAACATGACATGGAAACTACTACAAAACTTGTGCTTCTATGTAAGGGGTTATACATTTCGAGAAACTCTCACGCTGTTCATCTAGCGTCAGGCTTGGGGTCAAGGGACTGAAGTTTAGCCTGAAATCTCGTGGCTTCTGGAACTTCTAAGATTTTTGCATCCAGGGGATTAGGGACACCCAACATCGGGGAGGTCGGGACCTGGCTCAGGGATTATGGATTAAGGCTCCAAATGGAGATTCCAATGCAATAGATGGAAGGACATGAAACTTAGGGGCCTTTGAATGGGAGGCCTCACAATGAGGATTAAAGCAACCCTTAACCTTAAGCCGGGTCTACATTGGGGGCCCCTATTCTTGGACATCAAACATTAAGGTGTAAGGCTAACTACGGTTCAGTTGGGGATTCGGGCTTAGGGAGCTCGCGAAATCGGCGCATAAGTCTTACGGTATCAAAGAGGTCCCAGGGCCAGGATTGCACGGGGGTCGTTTTAGGGTTTAGGGTTTAGGGCTTAAGTTTTTTTAATTTCTCATGCCTCATATGAATCGGTCCCAATAGATTTCCCCCAGAAACAGAAATCCTGAGTCCTGAGCCTCGAACCTAGAAAACTAAGCCTCCAGCCTTAAACCCTTCATCCTTTACCCTGAACTCAAAAACCCTCAAAAACCTGAACCTGAGACCCTTCCCTAAACCCTAAAACCGTAAACCCCAAACCCTAAATCCTGAACCCAAAACCCACAACACCTTGAACCTGAGACCCGTCCCGAAACCCTAAACCCTTAAACCCAAACCTTAAACCCTAAATCCTGAACCCAAAAACCCTCAACACCCTGAACCTGAGACCCTTCCTCCTAAGCCTTGAGCCCCTCAGCCTCGCTAGAAGAGTCCGCATTTGAGCTATAGTCTAAACTGCCTAAAGGGGGTTATATAGGGGATTAGAAAGGAGAGTATTATGGGCTTATTCAGGGGAATACTGGGAGTTTACACTATAGCTCATATGTTGAAGGATAGATTTTGTGTCTGGGGGAGGTGATTACCAGGGATCCTGGATGGCGAGCAAGGGTTGAGGACGAGCAATTTGGACTTGACCTTGTACACAACATTCTGAGTTTAGCGGGGTTTAAGGATTCAGAAATTCAGGGTTTAGGGTTTGAGGGTGCAACCTGTTGTATTCACATCACAAGAAAAGGCCGATGATGATTTCTTGAATCCGACTTTATGCTTTGACCCTCAAGAGCCCAGCAATTCACCCAAACTTGGGTTGGAACCTACCAGGTCCAAAACAAATCCTAACCCACCAACCTGAAACCCAAATCCCGAAACCCTGAATCAAAAACCATCATCTGAACCTGCCGGCTATGCAAACCTCTGAACTTGTAAACCCCAAGCGCGGTGGAGTTAGTCGAAACAAACGTTCACAAGAAGGCCCGCGTCACTCAAGGTAACTTTAAAAAGGTGGCTTCTTTCTGACGCACAACTAATACAGATCCCGAAGCACCGAATCTTCTCTAGTCCGCCACGCTCAAAGCCAACAGCATCGCCACAACAGGCAAACATGTAACATCGCGTAATGTGAGGAAACATTATTATGAACACGCTCCGTGTTGATACGTTCATGCCAGACGTTCTCGAAACGAGCTTGCCCTTGTTCACCCACACATTTGCACAAACATAGCAAGAGCATGAAGAAGAAAATGTCTTTGAGCAGTTTCCGGCCTCCAGGTCTTGAATCTTGATTTGAATCTTTTTCGGCATGAGGGCGGCAAAAAACATCTCGTCTACATCGAGCACAGCCCCCAGGGCAACTGCATTGAGCATGAGGTCCGTAATGGATGTGGTATTTCCAAGCCACAGAATGCCCGCATAAAGCAAGAGGCCTGCAATAATGCCCCTTACCAGCCGGGCCCCACAGTAGAGCGCAAAGCGGAAGTAGGACATAGTAGTGAAGCGTCCCTGGTCAAAGGTGGTGTGAAGACGTCGAGGCACCTGACAGATGGCCTCCAGAGAAAGTCCAATGGCACGAAATTCGTTGCAGAGGTAGAGGCACCACAGCAGAATGCATAGCATACAGAGCAGAATCCCAAGGCGCAAGCCCAGGGGTTCGAATTCTGAGCCTCGCAGTACGAAAATTTTGTCAGAACCGCGCTGAAATGTCCCGACAAGTCACAGCTCATATCGGCACCCTACAAACCCTCAAACCTTGCCAACATGATCATCAAAAAAGGTTTCTTGCTGTTTCAAACTCGGAGCTTTCCCCAAGTCCCAGGAAAGCATCGATCTGGCCCAGTAGGGTGGCTTGACCTCTTACACCGCAAGACAGGTTGAGAGTTCAGGGTTGAGGGTTTAAGGCTTAAACTATTCAATTGTGTCAGGGTTCCAGGGTTTGAGGCTTCAGCGTAAGATTTGGAGTTTGGGGACTTCAGGTTTAATATTTGGATTAAGGTTTGGAGTTTAGGCCTTTAGGTGTAGGGTAAGTGGAACGTCATCTCCCTGTGGTATTGGGATTTCTCAATGCAGAGCCATTCCTGGATTGTACCGCCTTGCCGGGGGGCACGTACGAACGAATGCACGGGCCTTTGGCGAGCGTCCTAAAGTATCTCTGGCATGCAGACAGGGATGCCTCACATCACCGCGCCTAGGGTATGAGGTTTAGGGCTCAGCACCAAAGCACAATAACCAGATCTACTTTGAATCATCTTGACCATTCTTGATCTGATGTACGTGCGGATGTCTGGTCCTCTTTGAAAGCGCCTTGTTTAGGATACTTGGCGAAGTGCATGTCTAGAGAAAGCGGTGGTGTGGACTGGGCTATTAACATTACGGGAAAGATCCTGGTAGTTGGGTAAGTTCCACAAATAAGAGGGACACTGAAGCAAGGAGCCCAAATTTGCTTCTACTCTAAACCCTAAACCCTGAACTGTTGCGAGACAGACTGAGCTTCCGGCTGGTCGATACGATGAGGGAGTCATCTCTGCCGCAAACGCGCGAGACCAGGCTTGTTTCAGCCAAGTCCATGTGCCTTTGCAGGGGTGAGATCGGGATCCTTTAGGTGTTTAGGGTTTAAGGTTTAGGGGGTTAGGGTTTCAGGGCTTAGGGGTTTAAGGCAATAAGTGGCTTTTACCCTGTTATTTTCTGAAAGTGCCTGTAATCGTGTGCGATGCCAACTCTCCATTTCTCGGCACTATCGATGTTCGATTTAAATGGCTTACCAAGAAAGCCCTCTGAGAGTAGGATGATACTGAAAGCAATCTGCAGCCCAGCACTTGCCAACAGCAGCAGGCAGCCAACAATGATGTCCAGCCATCCAGCATCGGTAAATCCCAAGACAAGAACAATGTTCCTAAGCCGGTTTCGGGACAACACAAAAAAAATGTCCGTCCCTTACTGAGCCACCCCTACCCCTATATGCCCGCCCAAACAGCATTGTCGATGTTTATAAAGATCCCCCCAAAAGTGAACAACTTTAAGAACCTCTTCTGGGTTGCTGTTAAG